AATACTTGCAAAATATCAAGGATGGCAAGGTGAAGCCAACCTCGATAGGTATTTACAATATCTTATCTAATAACTCATCATATTCTTGTTCTTGGGTCCTTGATACAGGATGTCGGTTTCATATTTGTTCTGATTTGTAGGGGCTAAAAAAGTGTGAGGATGTGGAGCATGGAAGGATAAACTTGATCATGGGAAATATGTGTGTAACACCCCCCTCTGGCACGTATCACAATATTGTCCGCTTTGGGCCACTCGGCACGAGGACTTCCCAGGGGGTCAACCCATCCTGGTACTACTCCCGCCCGAGCACGCTTAACTGCAGAGTTCTTATGGGATCTGCTGCCCTCACGACTTTAAAACGCGTTGTGTTAGGAAAGGTATCCACACCCCTTATAAGGAATGCTTAGTTCTCCTTCCCAGCCGATGTGGGATCAGATCTAACCCACTTTCACCCCCCATTATAGGGTTCGACGTCCCCGTCGAACACATCGACCCGTGCCCTAGCTTTGATACCATTTGTAACACCCCCTCTGGCACGTATCACAATATTGTCTGCTTTGGGCCACTCGACATGAGGACTTCCCAGGGGGTCACCCATCCTGGTACTACTCCCGCCCGAGCACGCTTAACTGCAGAGTTCTTATGGGATCTGCTGCCCTCACGGCTTTAAAACGCGTTGTGTCAAGGAAGGTATCCACACCCCTTTATAAGGAAATGTTTCGTTGTCACAATGCGTTTTAAAGACGTGAGGGCAGCAGATCCCATAAGAACTCTGCAGTTAAGCGTGCTCGGGCGGGAGTGGTACCAGGATGGGTGACCCCCTGGGAAGTCCTCGTGCCGAGTGGCCCAAAGCGGACAATATTGTGATACGTGCCAGAGGGGGGGGGTGTTACAATGTGATCTTCACATGTCACCAAGATTGGAGTTTATAGCTTAGTGCTTAGTAGTTAGTTAGTATTAGAATTAATAAATTGTTGTTACTCGTTGGAGATGACATTAAACATCATTTATTTTCACGCATTGTTTAAACAAGGTTTTACTAATAAGTTGATGTAAGAATTCGTTATTTACCAACAAAAAGGAATCTGATTGTGTAAATTGATTTTGAATGAAAACCAAGATAAATACCCTTTGACCGAAAACACCAATAGTCAACAACTTGCTGACCGAGAACCTTGAAGATCAAATTATGTGACCAAAATCCATGAAAGTCAAATGTTTGACCTAAAACAGTTGGCCGAGAACTATATGTTTTGGCCAAGAACTCTTCCAAATTGAGAACCCCAAGTCTTTTCACCGAAAATGTTATCCAGCCGCCGAAAATGCTGACCAAGCCAAAATCGTGTTTTTTGATCGAGTTTTGTTATCCATTAAATCCCAAAATATGGTAAATTACCAAAATGATTTCCAATGCAATATCCTCCAAAATTATAAAGAACACTAAGAAAACTGATGAACACGAAGAACAGCAACACGATGAACAACAAATCCTTTTCCAATACAACCCAAAAACACCACAAGCGAATTAATGTTTCGAAAAACAATTCATAAATGTATCAATGAAATTATTTGAGTTAATGTGGAATCTTAATCATACAACTATGAAAAACAACAATTAAATGTATCGAGAACATGTTTCAATGAATGCACACAATTCTATTGATCAATTGTCAAGTACATTCAATCTCCTTTCAGCAGTGAGTCACTAGAATACTCCAAAAACGCATTAACCTTTTATGACTATACATAGAACATATTTATACTACACCAATAACCTAAAGCCCAAACATATCAAGCCCACTGAAAACACACTAAGCCCACTAATGATTTTGGTCCATAACCGAGAACACATAATACATACAAAAACAAAGCATAAACTTCAAAATATAGCCCAACAATCTTTTTCTTCTTGTGCACCGTCCTTAACGTTAAGAAGAAGTTCGTTGTATTCAACTTGAGTTTTAATGGTTTGTTGTACTAGAAGGCATGAAGGTCTACTTCGTCTTTGCTTCCCATATTAGGGTTCCATGTTCTTCAAGACCAAGAACGTAGTCTTCAAAGTGTAGAGCCCAAACTTCATAATCTTGTGGGAAAAGGATTGGGTTCCTGGTAGTCGATCCAATGTTGCTAGAAAGATTAAAATAGAGAGTATGTGGATCTTCTGGATTCATCTTTAACAAGACTATCAAAACTGTAATGAATCAGATGTGTAAAAATACTAATCAAGTTTAGGGTAAAACACAAACCCAGATCTAACGTCTACAATTAATGAAAACGATGGAGACGACTAGAACAGATCTGATAAAAACTCAAAACCCTAGAAAGCTTGACAGAAAATATGCGTATGTATTACACGATTTCCTGCTTTGATACCACTTGTTAGGAATAAATATGAGATGACAAACGTGGAATATCAAGAACAATCAATAATCAATCATCATAATATGCAAGTAATCAATCATAGGTTTTGTGTATATTGAGTTTGATATTAACGTACAAATAAAACCCTAATCAGGAAAAAGCTTTCATCAAAAGCTATCCTAATGATTATTTATAGAAAACATAAAATATTTACCAAAAATATAAAATCCTAAAACGCTTCCCTAAATTACAAAAAATGCCAAATCAGTTTCAATATCTTAAATACTCAACACTATCAATTCAAGTACATACCAATTATAGTTATGAGTTTAAACACCTAATCCAACAATATCTTCTCCAACCGGCTTTTGTGAGTATTATCAACAAAATAACTAGACAACCTAGTGGTCAACTGCTCCCCCTTATCATATTGTTCCCCCTCATCCTATTTTTTCAGAATGATTATGTAAAACCTAGTTAGGTTAACACTTTATTGTAAACTATGGTTATAATAAGTTTTTATGCTTTGACAACTTCAAGATACACCTCATAGTTATGTTAAATGTTCCAAAAATAAAATTAGGGTTTAATTTGTTCTTGTTTTGGGATGTTACATACATGTCATAAGGAACACATTTTGTATTCCTCAGGTCCATATGGGCCAGTTTCATTGGTAATAAATTACATATTTTGTTACTTTCGATACCGATGTGAGATATTGCCACTGAAACGATTTTTTACTTACGAATTAATTAACATCATTTTCCAAAACATGATTAGCATCGAACTTTTGTATTATGTTAGGATACACACTTGTTACAGTACTAGGAATATTTATGGGATTATTGTCATCAATAATATGAATAATTATTTTCCATCTAGGACTTTGAAAAGAGAGATATATTTGATCACTATGTAACATTGGCTTCGAACTACTAAATTAACCAATCCAAAAAGTTTACATCTATGGTTAAATCCACACCATAACATGTGTAATCTAAAGCAATATATTGCATAAAGTCGTCTATCTCTTCCATTGCCATCCATGACAAACACATACTCTAATAGACTAACTAAATATACTAATCCTCACTAATAAATAGATAGCAACCTATAAACAATATAATACACTATACAAATTGGACCGACAAAGTATATACAAATCTTGATTTAAGTAACTTCGGAATGACACTCTGGAATATCGTAAACTTCAGACTGTATGTGAGATATGTCAATCCAAAAATGTATTGTGTCACTATGTACGTCATTTAATTATGAAGTAGCTTTACATAACATTTCACCAACTAGCCACAAACTTAGGAACAGTCATCAGTAGTCCAAAATGAAATATTAAAAAAAAAAGTTATTTTCAATTCCAAACTAAAAAACAAAATTATTTTTGTTAATGAAATGTTTTATGGTATAGTTAGTTTAACCGATAACCCACAACATATTCGTCCCTTATATATTACATCACTAGGTGTGAGATTCGTATATTATACGGGTTAATTAAAAAAAAAAATTAAACATTAAAATGTAAATAGTAAATATTTTTTTAATGCAAAACTTTAAAATAAGAAAGGAAAAATGTATTCATTGCAATTTAATTTCATATATATTATATTTAATACTTTACATATATAAATATATGATTTTAATTTTAAAAACTGAAACAAATCAGAAATTGACAAATGGATAATATTTATTTCAAAAATACCACAAAATGACAAGTATCAAAACTCGTAAGAGCTTGACATGTGGTAAAAAAAACCTTCATTTATTAAGGAAGATTGAAACTACTCATGTTTTCTTTTTTCTTTTCAAAATTTTTAAAAACTAAAAAATAACATCATGCTATTGAATATCTTGATTTCATGCTGTTTGTGATGATTTTTGGTTATCTATTTTTTAACACAACACTTGTTTTAACAAGAAAGAAGAGTACTTGCTTTTTTTTTTTTTTTTTCTCCTTTTGGTTTGGGCGTGGGAATCTATCATATGAACATATAATAGGAAAAAATAGAATATATATTTCTTTAATCGTTGCTCTTTTTACATCTTATTTCACTACTACAATACTTGGCCGATGGTCGACGGAAATAGCCTCCTTTTTTTGTATCAAGGGAATATAACTTAAACATTATGTTCTAATATCAATAAAGACTAGAAACAAGATGTGTTGTTATATTGGAAGTCGTTTTAGTGGAAGAAAACTTATGATGAGTTTGAATTATTGAGAAAAAAATATCAACTCACGTAACAACCTAGGGCCATCAATTACCATGTTTTATTTGGAGTTAGGTTGAACTTTTCATGGAATGCATCTTCCTTTAACACTTTTGACTTTAAAAAAACCTCTCATTATACATTTAATTAGACACAAACATATGCATTGAGCATCACTTATTTTACAACATAGATTGCTATAGTTACGTGCGTACTGAGGCATGTAATAACTTTGACCCTTTGATGGATATATAAATTAATTTGAATTGTATTTTATCTGTGACCAATTGGATGTGTAAAATGGAGAAAAAAAACTTAACAGAACTTAGAAGTGGTCAAATTGATAGAACCAACTGTTACTAGCCTAAAATATATTTACATTTATAAAAAAAATTATAAAATTCGAGATGGGCCATATCAAATTTGATTAAAAGAACTCTAACAAAAAGGAAAATTAGATACATGCTTCCATTGTAATTTTAATTTTTTATAAGACACGTATGGTTGGTTTCAAGTTGATACCAAAAACTCTATCTGGTTCCGTCAGCAAAAACACTCATAAATTTATGTGGGGAAAACTACAATAAAGTCCCTAAGTATTGCCCGTATAATCGATTTAGCCCTTATATATATATATATATATATATATATTTTTGCAATTTAGTCCTAAATACCTGTAAACGTAATCAAAACGAGATATTTAATAGGTTAGCCGGTATCCCACCTTACGTGTACAAGTGAGTTTTACCCTTCCATTTCCACTGCATTCGACGTCTGGTAAATCGATTGAGAGAAAAAGATAGGGTTTTTACAGAGTGATACACGAAAGAAGTAAGGTTTTACTGAGAGAAACGAAGGTAAAACCCAATGGTTGTCGAATCAGAAGAAGTTCGCCATGAGTCATCTGAAGAATACGACTCTGAAGAATACGAAGATGATGACGAGGTGCTCGATACTGAGCACATAGATGTGGAACTGGAAGAAGATGATTTCAAGACACAGGGTAAAGAGAGATGCAAGGATGCTTTCCTTAACTTCAGTTCTGATTATGAAGATAATGAAGCCGATGAAGACAATGACTTAGTTGATGAAGATGAAGAAGGGTTTGGTTCAGAAGAGGAAATCGATGACACAGCAGGGGCTAATGATCTTGATTTGGGAGATGCGGTTGGTGCAGGCTTCCCCATTCACGACCCATCAGTTAAGTGGAATAAGATGAAGCCCCTTCTTGGTGAAAGGTATGAATCACCACATCAGTTGCAACAATGTCTCACTAATTATGCTATTAAGTCAGGGTATAACATTAAATTTGCGAAGTGTGACACTGTGAGATTAACTGCCAAATGTGGTTCTAAGATGAAGTCTCAACCCTGCCCATTCAGAGTTCATGCTTCCTGGATGACTCAAGAAAGGTCTTTTCAGATTAAAACCTTAGTCGATGAGCACAAATGTGTTAGAAATTTCAATATTTCAAATTTACTGAGTCCCAGATGGCTAGCAAGACACTTTTTGAAGGAGTTGATAATGAAACCTAACTTGAAGTGTAAGGAGATGCAATCAATAATTAGGACCAAATTTCATTGTGGTGTATCTTGGTCTAAGGCTTACAGAACAAGGTGTAGAGCAATGACCATTATAGATGGTAAACTTACAGAACATTATGCTAGGGTGTGGGACTATTGCCATGAGTTACTAAGGTCAAATCCTGGTAGCACTGTCCAAGTTGGTGTCACTGTAAATCCAGATCAAACAACATACTTTCACAGGATGTATTTGTGTTTTAAAGCAATCAAGGAAGGTTGGAAAATAGGGTGCCGTAGGGTAATTGGTCTAGATGGATCTTTCTTGAAAGGGACATGTAAAGGAGAATTACTCACAGCAATAGGGAGGGATGCAAACAACCAAGTTTATCCAATTGCTTGGGCAGTTGTTGACATTGAAAACAAAGCTAATTGGAAATGGTTTTTGGAACTGCTCACAGAGGATCTTAATCTGCTAGATGGAGGAGGGTTTACTGTAATTTCTGATCAACATAAGGTTTGTAATTTCTTTGCATATTTATGATTTTTCCTTAACATCATCTTATATGTTTATGTATTCATTAAATTGTAGGGATTGCTTGAAGCAACCAAAGAAGTCCTACCAAATGTGGAGCATAGACAGTGTGCAAGACACATATATGCTAACTTTAGGAAGACCTATTCTGGAGTGGAGTTCAAGAATATGTTCTGGGCAGCTTCCTTATCAACTGTAGAGAGTGAATTTCTCAGGAAAATGGATGATATAAAAGAGGTTAATCCAAATGCTTATGAACATTTGATCGCAAGAGATCCTCACACATGGTGCAGGGCATTTTTTAGGACTGATGTAGCATGTGAGGCAGTTGAAAATGGCATTGCAGAGTGCTTCAACGCCATCATATTGGATGCTAGAAAGAAACCCCTTCTAGCAATGTTTGAAGAAATTAGGTTGTACATGATGGATAGGTTCTACCATATGTTACAAAAGGCAGAAAAGTGGGAATCAGTGGTTTGTCCAGCTGCTATCAAAAAAATGAACAAGTTTGGAGAGGATTTGAGGTTTGTCTTAGCATTTTTATTGTTCCTTGTTATCATTATTCTAATTTCATTGTTATGATTTCATTTAGTAATGCCATTGTAGGAATTGGAATGTGAATCCAAGTGGACCATCTATTTTTGAAGCCAGGAATGGATTAGAAGGGTACGTGGTTAACTTACAAAGCAGAGTGTGCAGCTGTAGGCTTTGGGATATCTCAGGAATTCCATGTGTACATGCACAGTGTGCAATATTATTCACTGGACAAGATCCTGTTCATTTCATAAGTGAGTGGTTTCATGTGGACAGGTTCAAGGCCATATATGCAAACAATATACTACCTGTGAATGGTAGAAATTTATGGCCTAGAACATCATACATAAAGCCTCTACCCCCTTTAGCTAGAAGAATGCCAGGGAGACCAACTCTGAAAAGAAAGAGGCATGCCACTGAATCTCAAGACAAATACTCCCAAAATAAGATGAAGGTTACAGGAAAAGGAAGGACTGTCCAATGCAAAAATTGTCTTCAAAGGGGTCATAACAAGGCATCCTGTAAGAATCCCAAGGTCACACCAGAACCCAAACCCAAGAAAAAAATGGGTAGACCAAGATTGGATCCTGATATCAGTCATTGGACTAGAGGTGGTGTAAGAGGTGGTGTCAGAGGTAGTAGAGGTGGTGCAAGGGGTAGTAGAGGTGGTAGAGGGGGTAACAGAGGTGGTGCAGTGGGTAACACAGGTGATGTAGTGGCTAACAGAGGTGGTAGGGGTACTGAAGTGAAGGTGGTGGAGTGGCTGAAGTTGAAGGTGGTGGAGTGGCTGAAGTTGAGGATGACACTATTCCTGAAAAATATTTAGTCCATTTATGGAAGGCAATGCAAGATTTGAAACTATCACGGTATTCAACTGAAGAAATTAAAAAGTCACTTAGTCTGACAGATTCACATATGAAACAACTCAATGATTACAATGACACTATTGAACAAGTTCTTCCTATGTCTATGGTAAACCCTCTATATTACCTTAATGTTTACATTCGTTTATGTTATTAATTGCTTGATGTTTTATAGGAAGAGGAGTATCCACCTCAGACAGAGACACAAGATGGGGATGAAGAAAATATCCCTGAGACACAACCAGAAAGTGAGGAAGAAGAAGAAGGCATTAATGACACCCATGAATTACCAGTACACCTTAGGATTGTGAAAAAAAGAAGGCCCTCTGAGAGGATTGTTAAAACCAAGCTGAAGAAGATGGGATGTGTTGGGACTTCTTCAAATTCACCATTGGAGTTGGATTAGGGTGTTAGGGTGTTAAGGGTAGTAAGGGTATTTTGGTACATCTTTTGTGAATGCTACTTTTGTGCATCTTTTGTGAATGCTACTTTTGTATATCTTTTGTGAATGCCCTTAAATTACTGATAACCATATTTTGTACATCTTTTGTAAACACATTGAAACATTGTGAATGCCCTTAACATGGTTGGTAATGACATATTGGAGTTTGTTGTTTAATTATTTTAGCCACATTGAAACATTGTGAATGCCCTTAATATGGTTATATTTGTCAAGTGTACACCATTTATGCAAACCAAGAAGGGCACCAGCAACACCTCTGTAGTAAGATCTTGTTATTGATCTAAATGATTCTTGACCATCCTAACAAATATATAAAGAAAAAAGAAGAGATTTTTTTAAGATTTCTTTTTATAATAAATGTAACAAGAGAATAAGGTATAGAAGAAAAGAAGGAGACAAACTGTGTCCCAGATTTGGAGCTTTATTGGTTTGTTGTCAATGGTGATCATTTTAGTCCCAAATTCAACACCAATTGTTAAATCATGGTTATATTTGTCTAGTGTACACCATTTATGCAAACCATAATAACATATTGCCATTTCATTAACCGAAACATTACATGATCCACAACAACATTTATCTATTACATCATGATGATAACAAACCAAAAGATTACATCATCCCTACCATACCATAATACCCTACAACTTACACTAAACTAACCATACATCATCCCTACAATGAAACAAACAAAACAAACCATCATCCACTTGCAGAATCCAAATTCATTACTAGGCACATGTGTATTGTCACACATTGCAATTTGATTATCAGGTTCAAGAGCATTCGCAGGGGCAATAGGGACATCAACATTCACAGGGGCAATAGGGCCATCAACAGGTATTTCACCTTCATTAACAGGGTTATTAAAAGGAATAGCTACACCCCCATTAGCAACAGCTCCTAACTCATACATTCTTTCTTTATACCACTTATTCAATAGTGGTGGGTCAATCCAACGAAAATACCCACAGTCCTTCTCTTCATCCTACATAACATAGCAAGATGCATGTTTTTAACATAGAAAAATGGGAAATTTAGAGGATTAGAAGAATTTGAGTGAGTTTTGAAGATTCTATACCATGTAATTTGGGCAACCAAAAAACCTCCGACCTGGATTCTTCGAGTCCATGATGTCCACATTCCAACCGTATCTCCACAATAGCACGTTCTGATGTTGGTGCTTGACGAACTCGACATCGATTTCCTGTTGCCAATTTGCCCTAATCGTTCGCTCCTTTGACTGGAGATTGAAGAAGACGAGCTCGATTCAATGATTTAGCCCTCTTAAATGGCACGTAGGATGTTATTTCACATGATGACTTCCACGTAAGCTGCCACATCAGTTAGATACCGGCTAACCTATTAAATATCTCGTTTTGATTACGTTTACAGGTATTTAGGACTAAATTGCAAAAAATATATATATAAGGGCTAAATCGATTATACGGGCAATACTTAGGGACTTTATTGTAGTTTTCCCAATTTATGTGTGTGTTTTTTGTATATTTAATTCGCTTATTTTCACATGTTTAAATATATATATATATATATATATATATATATATATATATATATATATATATATATATATATATATATATAATATCAAAGATATTAGGGATATTAGAGATTTTAATTCAAACCGAAAACTCAACCTACAAGATAAGCATGCTAATGTTTATACTCATTTATTTAAATCCAAATACAATGATATCAATATGTACACATTTAAGTGTTTTACATAATATTGATAACCTTAAACAATCTCGTTCATTAATATAAAAGTTTATTGGATCAAAACGATCTTTTTTATAATTTACGCAATCAAACCCGTCAATTGTCACATATACATAATACACGTTTAACTAAACGATATCGATTAAATATGAAGTGTTGTTTCAATATAAAAATAGAATTCTTATGAGTTCATTATTAGCTTGAAATGAGATCAAAATTCAAATAAGTGTAAATAGTAATAGAATAAAATAAATCTTTAATTGTGTATTGAAAAACATAATTATTCTTAAACAAAATACAAAACATCCAAATAAAATGTACAACTCTCATTAAAAGAAAATATCTTTGTATCACACTCATGTGTGTAGTATGCTCATGAAAAATCTTGGCACGCAACGCCTTTGTGTGCGAATTAGCTATCATGAGTTTGTCACGACGTACTGTAACGCCCGTAGATCCGGGCTAGTCAATTTAGAGACGATAAACATCAAAAATGACTTTTTATGGAAGATTATTTAGAAGTATTAATCTTAACTAAGTTGTAGTATATGTCACAAGGTTTCCGTGCATATAAAGAACGCCAAAATCCGAGTTATAACGAAGAAGTTATGACCTGTCGAAGTTTCGCGATAGAACCGACACGACCTAGCGTGACCCAGCGCGATGTAAATAGTGAATTTAAGGTAGATAGATATCTATCCTTAGTGATCTAAATGAGAATTGAAGATCTCATCAATAGTAGTGCAACGACGGAAAGACGGATGGAATCGGAGTTCAGATGAAGGAGTTATGAATTTCGAACGGAGTTTTCCTGTCCCGGCCTACTAAAAATAATATATAAGTAATATACTTATAATATATTAAAAATAAATTCAAAATTAGCCAATGGAGTCTAAACGAGAGTTGTAGAGCATAATCTCACCTTCGCAGCGATATAAAGAACGTCGAAAACGGAGTTCGTATGCGAAAGTTATGAATTTCTGAAGTTCGGGGCGCGAAACCCCAAAACTGTCAGAGACCACGACGTGGCAAGCAGTGCCACGACGTGGCAAGTGTCCTGACACCTCCGGGAGGCCCCCAGATGCAACTTGGGATGACGCATGCAGTGACGATCAAGCCCACAACGTGGCAAAAGGATCCCACGATGTGGCAAGGGCCAAATTTGCCCTATAAATAGATTTGAAGGGCCAGCCGACTATGGTTGCTCCATCCCTTCTCTCCCACTCCCGATACACCCTCTAAGCCCTATTTTAACCCCCTGAAGCCTCGGTATCAACCCCGAGACCCGAAGCAAGTCCCGAAGCCCGAAGATCCCGAGAAGAAAAGAGTTTCCGAGCCGAAGCTCTGCCCGCGAGAAACTAGGTGTGTGAAGTGATCCCGGTTTCACCGAAGAATACTACTTCTGCAAGTCGTAGTGCTGTCCGATCATCTTCTGATCAAGTGAGTGTATACTACCTTTCATAAACACGATAATAATACAAGTATGGTTTGAGTGTATTAAGTTTATTGTTGTTTATATATGTGAGTGTGTAGTTACTTTCTTCTAACGCATAATTATGAAGTATTTTATACGAAATACGTGTTATGTGTATATATATTGTGGTTTATATGTGTGAGTGTGCGGTTACTCTCTTCTAAACACATAAATATAAAGCATTAGCTATGAAATACGTGTTTATGTGTTATATATTAATTGTCTATATGGTATGGGCTTGGAATTGATGTTTTTATATGGTTTGTTAAATGATTTAAACTATATATGTAATTTATATCTACAAATATGTTGGGTAGAACATGGGTAGATGAAATAGTTGATGTGTGTTGAACGAATGTGATAAGAGAAAGGTGAGGATATGATGGTGATGATAATTAGGTGATGAGAAACAGGTGATGATGATTAGGTGATGAGAAATAGGTGATGATAGAAAGGTGATGATAATTAGGTAATGATAAATAGGTGATGTGAGATGAGAGGAGATACCATAACCTTGACCGGCGATGTGGAAATTTGGTGATGTAGTCATCTACCAGAGTATAGATGGCGACCACGGACTATTCTAGATGACCCCGTGGAAACACCAGCAGGCTCATAACCTGTAGGTGATGAATTACGAGTCCAGGCGATGTTGTGGCTACGTATTCATGCGATGATACTCTAACCCTTACTATGAATTACGAGTCCAGGAGATGTTGTGGCTATGTATTCATGCGATGATAGTCTAACCCTTATTATGACTTACTAGTCCAGGCGATGTTGTGACTACGTATTCATGCGATGATCCTTAGGAAAAAGTCCTTAGGAACAATCATACAAGGAAATGTGATGTAAGGAGATGAGAGGTAAATATGATGTAGGAGATGACCCTTAGGATAATTCCTTAGGGAAGATACTTAAGAAATAAATGGAGATAACGGGGATGGGTAATTGGGTTGATTGTTTGATGATTGAATATAATAATTATATTATTGTGGGTTGAAAACCCTATATGCTCACCAGGATCCCAAGCCTGACCCACTCAGTTTTCTTTTCATTACAGGTAATGGCACAAGGGTATAAGTTGGTGGACTTGATGAGAGATTTTGGATTATAGATCAGTAGTTGAATAACTATTGTAAGGTCTATTTTATATTGTTTATGCTTTTGGTCTGTATCGAACATGACATCCCAAGGTTTTATTATTTAATGAAAATACATTCTCTTTGAGAAATGTTTTGATGAATTTTATCATATTTTATTTTGGGAACAAATTCCGCAACTCTTTTAATCAAAAGATTACTCTGATTTTATAAAACAAAACAAATCGGTCTTTTCTGGCCGTGAAATTGGGGATGTCACAGTAAGTGGGTTAGATCTGATCCCACATCGGCTGGGAAGGAGAACTAAGTATTCCTTATAAGGGGTGTGGATACCTTCTCTATCACAACGCGTTTTAAAGCCGTGAGGGCAGCAGATCCCATAAGAACTCTACAGTTAAGCGTGCTCGGGCGGGAGTAGTACCAGGATGGGTGACCTCCTGGGAAGTCCTCGTGCCGAGTGGCCCAAAGCGGACAATATTGTGATACGTGTCAGAGGGGGATGTTATAAATGGTATCAGAGCCAGGGCACGGGTCGATGTGTTCGACGGGGACGTCGAACCCTATAATGGGGGGTGAAAGTGGGTTAGATCTGATCCCACATCGGCTGGTAGGAGAACTAAGTATTCCTTATAAGGGGTGTGGATACCTTCTCTATCACAGCGCGTTTTAAAGCCGTGAGGGCAGCAGATCCCATAAGAACTCTGCAGTTAAGCGTGCTCGGGCGGGAGTAGTACCAGGATGGGTGACCCCCTAGGAAGTCCTCGTGCTGAGTGGCCCAAAGAGGACAATATTGTGATACGTGCCAGAGGGGGATATTATACGTACTC